CAGTCTTCATTCATGCACTAAAGTTAAACCATGTTGTAGGAGACAGATGTTCTGGGTTGTGTTGACTGAAAGGCACCATTTCTTTGGATGATAAGGGATAGCAAAATCACAGTTTCTTAACAAGCATGATTGGTTGTTAGTCAGTAATGAAAGTGAAATGACTCAACGAATTTGGATAACAGAAACATTGTCTTCTGCTCTACTCGAGCTTGAGGAAAATAAAGACAGCAGCAGGCCCACCCCCCTGATAGCGGGGTTGGGCCCTCTTAGGCATATAGGAATACCTTATATTCATTTGACGATTTGATTTTGATTTCAGGCTGCACAATACAATGGAACACGTATTTGCACCTGTATCCTTGCTCCTAATGGGTTACCTGCTGCTAGCAGTCGGCATTCCTGGTTTTCGTGTCCTGTACGAGGTAACTAAGACACACTTGCAAGTCTGCTTATTGTTATTTTTTTTTGTAGCACAACTAGAAATATTGAAGCATTCCGATAAAGCTGAGATGCAGAAGAATGCAGGGAACAAGAAAACGGAAGTTACCATGCAATACAATAGCGATTCCGTTTCCTGCTTCCCTGCATTCTTCTGCATTTCAGTTTCAGCTTTACCGAAATGCTTTATTTGCTGAGCGATTAGCGAAGCCTTTTAGGCCTACTCCAGTGATGATATATCGCCGCCGCCGCCGCGCCGCCGCCGACAATTTCACCGGCGGCGTCATCGGCGGCGCGGCCAATCGTATTGACATATTCATCCCCGAAGAGCGCCTGACAGGTAGGCAACTTAACTAACGCAGTGCTCCCGACCTACCGCAAACCTCCCCAGGCCGGCGGGGCGCCGCCGGCAGCGCACTCTGCCTCGAGGTGCCTACACTAACCCCTGCCCCGCGCTCCTCTCACCCTGCGCCGGCAGTCGCTGGTGCCTTGTTTACGTTTACGGCGCGTTAGGATCACGTTGAGACGCGTTGTACAGTGCATGAAGTGCGTTCGGGTTCACGATGGCACAAGCTGGGGATCTGAAAGAACCACTGGCTTCCTATAGTGTGTACGTTTTACATAGTGATAAGAAGCAGTCTTTTGTGTGGAAATATTTTGGTAAACTAACACTGACTCGGGATGGCAAAAGAAAGCACATTTACACCAAGAAAATATTTTGCAAGCCGTGCGTCGGCGATGCTGACAAAAAGGGGGCCACAGAAGAAGACGATTTTCCTGACGATCCAAACCCTGAGAGTGCTTGTAAATACATTTGTCCTTTTACTATTGCCAGGCAAGCTGAAGCTGAAACAGAAAAAGTTAAGTCGGTCACTGTTGGAGGTGAGGTGCAGGCTGATCTCTCGAACATGGTAGCAGTGATAGGGTTTGAGCTAGAAATCAAGGTTCGTGACCTCTCTACACTCCAACCCGAACAGTGGTTGAACGATGTGGTAAGTATAATTTTTAAGTGCGTAAAACTTACCCACTGTAGCTCAGAGCAACTTAAATCATAGTTTCAAATTTCCTGGGATACAGATAATTAACTTCTACCTGACTACGTTATCAGAGACACTAGAAAATGTGTACTGTTTTAATTCATTCTTGACATGTAGCCTGAAAAGTCATGGATTTCAAGGCTCAGTACACAAATGGACCAAGGGATTGAGTACTAAGTGACGTTTCAGTACCCAGGCTACCATCAATCGCAATTACGCATTCTCTCTGTATTTTTGCAGGTGGATATATTTTCATTTCGTACACTTATGGTACCAATTTGCCAATCGGACCACTGGACCCTGATTGTTGTGGACATGCCTAGCAAGACCATGTCTTACTTTGACAGCATGAATGGCAATGGCATTCCTGAGTGCATGCATGTAAGACAACCTTACTGAAATCTGAGAGTGCATATGCATGCAGGCCATTTCAAGTGTTTATCAAACAAATTTTCCCATTTCAGGTTGTATTGAATTATCTTCGGGACGAGCTCCTAGCCAAAAAGCAGCAAATATTAGAGATTAATAAATGGAGTTTGGAGCGTAAGAAGGTAATAGAGCGCACGTGCTGGGCGGTGTACACTCAATCAGAGAGTAATTTTCGAACCTTCTTTACAGGACATCCCATGTCAAACTCACTTTGTTGACTGTGGCGTTTTCTTGCTGAAACATGCACTTTGCATTGCACTCGGAGAACCTTTCAATTTCACCCAGACATCCCTGAGTTCAGAAAACAAGTCCACCGTCAAATCGTCTCCAAGAACTTGTTCGCTGTGTGATGTTATTGTCAAAGAGAACGTCCGACGGCGACACTCGGAACTACCTATGTTATAGTCTCGTGCGAGGTATGAAGCTACAGGTCCAATCAGCTGATTCTGCTGGCCAGGCCCCGCTCGAGACTAACACCATTTTCTAGTTTGTTTTTGTTTTTTTAATTTTGCATGTCTGACCTTTTGAGAAAGGGCCGGCAGGCTTCTCTGGTCTAAGAAGGAAGCAGGGAAACCGAAATATCTGTGAGTGTGCGCTCTGTCGTCAACTTTAAATAGCCGTAGGCCTTTTTAAAAAAATCAAGGGAAACGTAGAACACAAAATTTAATTTGTTTTAATGTATAAACTGGTACATCACGCCATTGAAGAGGCCTGGGATACCGGTGTCATGGGCCGGGACCCCACAAATGCACCTTGAAGATCACCCTTCCTCAGTGCAATTGACAGCTTTTACTGATAGATGCTTATTAATTAATTTGAGGTGTAATCACTTTGTTATGAGAGTCTGGCAAGCGTGGGTTAAATAGACCATTCCGGTAAAGCGAAAAAAAGAAGAACAGACGAAAGAAGCAAAGGCGAGTATGAGAAATATACGGTGGTGCATCGGTTCCACGGTCGTATCAAACCGTTAAACGTGACTTGTCTGATGTCTAAATTCGTCTAAGAGTTAATGACAATAGTTCTAACTCTCAGGCGAAGCAGAATATCTAGTATACGATGAATTACGTTCAAGCGTTCCCAAGTCGCACCGTACATTTCTCATAAAACGCTTTGCTTCTTCCGTCTCTTCTTCTTTCTTTTCGGTTTACCGGAATGGTCTATTGGATCGGGCTCTGATTAGTCTAGCACCATTCTTTATCAGCTCTCCCAGGGCCAAATGCCATGTCAAAAAGTTATCAGAAGGATTTCAAGACGACACATATGTCGTTCTGATAACTCTCCCACATTCATTTCGACTCCATTTCGCACTGGGCCTGCAGCACCCTCTCCCTCTCAAAAATTGAGCTTGCTTTTGTTAAGATTTAGATTGCTTATTCGACCAACATCCTGATATCTTTCTTACTTATTTTCAGGTTCTGTGTTCATCCAAGTAACAAAAATGGAAGCCCAGACTCCACCCCTGATACATGAGGTGAGAAAGCACCCTGTCTTGTGGGATCGTACCCATAGTAAATACAAAAAACCTCAGGCCAGGGACTGTGCCTGGAAAACAGTAGCTGATAGCCTGAATTCCACCCGTAAGTTTTCTTGGAAGACTAAACAAACATTTAATTGCTACAGTCTCACGCTGAAAAGCGTTTGATACTGTCAACCATCAAATCCTCTTGGAAAAAATGGAAAGAATTGGCATCAGAGGACCCTGCCATAGATGGATATCTACCTATCTTACTGGGAGGACTCAATATGTTCAAATAGGCACATCCAAGAGTACCCTTACTCATATTTCTATTGGTGTCCCCCAAGGATCAGTCATGGGGCCTATATTATTTATCATATTCATTAATGATATAGCACATATTCCCCTCAAAGGGAAATTAATGCTATACGCAGATGATATTTTGCTACTCTATGACGGAAAAACTGAAGAAGAAGTAATGAAAAAAATTAATATAGACCTACTAATTCTATCAAATTGGCTAGACTCTAATCGTTTAATCATAAATGTGGACAAAACCAAGTATCTTTTCTTCCACTCTCCGAATTATCATCTAAAATCAAGCAATATAGTTCACCTTGGCAACAGTACTATTGAGAGAGTGAACACTGCTGTGTATCTGGGTCTGCATCTTGACTCCAGTCTATCATGGAATTACCATGTAGATTACATTATCAAAAAAATCTCTCCAGTTATCGGTATCTTATCAAGACTAAGACACAGTGGCCTTGACAAGAAAATACTGAGGAATATTTACTTTGCACTTATACATTCTCATCTCTCCTATCTAATAACCCTTTGGGGACACTGCTCTGCCACTCTACTGAAGAAACTTGAAATCCTACAAAAGAGAGCCCTTAAATTCATCTTCAACCTCCCCTACTGTGAACCCTCCCTAAATGTTTATAAAATTTCTTGCATTCTACCCCTATCCATACAAGCTGACCTGTCATCCGTTGTCTATATTTTTAAAATCAGAAATAATATGGTAAATACCACAATCAAATTAAAATTTAATCAAGATGTTCACAATTATAACACAAGATCAGCAAAACAAATCCACCACACGCATCATCATACATCAAGGCATGGAACCAACTCGGTGTTTAACACAGCTGTAAAGCTCTTCAACTCTCTCCCACAAGATCTGACTACCAGCTTTTCTTCCACTAAAAAATTTAAAAGAGCTGTTCACAAACTATACTTTGACAAGTTTTTTAACTGAAATGTAACTACTATTGCAGCTATTCTTATTACTTCTTCTCACTCCTGTTGTTTGCTATCCTTGCCTAATACTTCTATCGAGGGGTGCCCAACTCGAAAAAATCGTGTACACCTGATTACCAAAAAGCGACGATTACCAAGGATTACCGAAGATTACCGAGGATTACCTATGATTACCAAGGGTTTCCGAAGATTACCACTGACAAAAGATTACCAAAGATTGCCAGTGATTCCCAAAGATTACCAGTGATTACCAAAGATAACCAGTGATTACCAAAGATTACCAGTGATTACCAAAGATTACCAGTGATTACCAAAGATTACCAGTGGTTACCAAAGATTACCAGTGATTACCAAAGATTTCCAGAAATTTTCTTGCTGGATTACTGAGTGGTTACCAAAGATTACCTGGTGATTACCAACGATTACCTGTTGATTACCAGCGATTACCTAG